AATATGCCTTTTGAAATACCCTTGGGTGTGTTCTTTAAGAAATAGTATGCCTTTTTTGGGGTAGTTGGAATAAGCAGTCTGCTAAAATATTTCAAAATAGAATATGGACCCATCAAAACCATATATTAAAATTCACACTTCAAAATCTGAAATTGACAGGTCTCTTTTACAGCACTGTAACTTCACAAAATAGTGTATGTGTCATGCTCCCTGACATTTCTGGCCATATACTTGCTTCCAGTCTCCACTCCAGCGGTTCCAACACTGGCTGCTGTAGCTCCGCCCTCTTTTATGACAGGACAGATGCGTGTGTGCTGACGTTATGACGTCATGGCCCGCCAAAACGTCCGGACTCGACCATTTTGGGGGCGTGGCTACCAATTTAAAAAGCCAACCTATAAAAGGCTGGTCCACACCTAGGACTTTGCCTTGTTGTAGTTCTTTTCTTAGTTCCCAATAGTGCTTTACATCTGGTTGTTCTATTTGGTAGTTTAACTTCTTCTAACTGACTACTCTCCATTCTCCTAATATTGACTCTGCTCATGTACCTCGAATATCCTAATATCTGGTTTCTTGATTCGGCTTGTAGAAATTGTTTTCCTGATTTCTGACTTCCTGGACCTTGGCTTGTTCTTAACCATTTTCTGTACTGGAATAGCTCACAACAGCTTTACGAAATACATATTCCAAAAACCGTGTTATATGTGTACATGCCAAAATAGAGAAAAAACGCAATTTTACTCCAATATTTAGCAGAGATTGACAATGAAATAATAAAGTGTCAAAATAACCTTGGGTAAATAGCCTTTGAGGTCTACTTTATATAAATATATACTTTTGTGTGGCAATTTTGTTTTCTGTGATGGGTATTAAACTTCCAATACAAACATACCAACTTCTAAAATTGTTTCACATTGAAATTTTATTTTAGAACTTGTAGTTTGTGAACTGTAACTTTCAAAATTAACTTAAAATCATACACATATTATGTACTCTGTAAATGAAGACACATAAACTAATTAGATTTTGAATTACTTTTTCTAAGCTGGACATGTTATGCACTCATTATTATTGCCAAAACTAGTTTTGGTTGGTCCGGCTAGGTATCCCTGGGGTTGGCCGGGCTCTCACTCTCGGGCTCCCCGTCTCTCCCTCCTCCTTGGATGACTGCTCCTCTTCCCCTCACCGGGGTGGCTGCTGGAGGCACGAGGGTAATGGGGCAGAGGGTTTTGCTGGGTGGGGTGCTGTGATGTCTAGACTTTGGTGATATGATTTATTTATACTTTTATAAATGTCTTGGTTTGGTTTTGCATGTTGTATATTTATGTCGTGGGTGCGTATTTCTTTCACTTGTTATATTGTTACGGTATGTCTCTTGCTGGTTGTCTTTGTGTTGGCGGTTTTTGTGTCTCAGCTGTGTGTCTTTTGCTGTTTCTAGTGACTCTCTGCATGGTGTGTTTGACTGTTCCATTTCCGCGTTTAGTTTTACTGTCTGGTGCACCCCTGCTCGCTAGTCTGGTGTTTGCCTATCCGTTCCCTTATTTGGCGTTTTCATCGTTGTGGTTCGCTCTATTACGCCTCTGGCGTTCTTGCTGGTGTACTCTTGTCACTGGGTCTCTGTCCCTTGTCCTGGTTCACCAGTTGGTTCTGTTCCTTTTTGTCTTATATGGGTTGGTCGCGTTTTTGCACTTATTTTTTGCTATGTTCCTATACCCTCCTCTGTTTCCCTCCTCTATAGTTTATACCCGGGTTTCACTTATCTTTGTGACACGCCTTGTCTAACTGTTGTCCTGCCGAGGAGCTCATCCTTCCTGGCAGTGTTTGCCTTTTTTGCCCCGTGTCCACCAGTGGGGTAGGTCACTTTCCCTTATTTCGGTCCGCAATCTGGCCCACCCTGGAGCATGTGTTCTCGGTCACTGTTCTACATGGGTCCTCGATCTGGCCCACGCACAAGCATACGTTCTCAGTCACTAGTCTAAATGGATACACAATCTGGCCCATGCAGAGGCATACACCCTAAGACTCCAGTCGGATTGGGTCCACAACCCGGCCCACTCAGAGGCATTCATTCTCGGACACCATTCTACATGGGTCCACGATCTGGTCCATGCTGAGGTCACCGGATAGCGGTACGATATTAGCGGATAGTACTGGTTGTTAGGGATCTAGGTGCCCACTATGGTAGGTTTCTGGCCACTATGCCATAGTCTAGTGGTTCCGAGAGGCCAACACCCATCCTCATACTCTAAGGGCAATCCATTGGCCCAACGCATAGTTATTCGATGGCCTCTACCTCCCCTCGGCCAAGTTATAGATAGAGCCTCTCACTCCACTTGGCAATTAGCAGGGCCTGACCTGTCACTCTCATTAGTTAAATTCTTTGCCACTTTGCAATAGCTAGCCTGCTGGTACGTTATATGGATCAAACTAATGGTGGCTTTATATAGTCGTATGTCTCGAGTTCCCAAGTTACTGGGGAACTGTCTCTACCCAACACCTCATCCACTTATACATTACATACACCAGAACCGGTTAGGGATTTGTCAGGCATTTGTGACTAATCCAAGTCATTTTGAGGTATGGTAGAACGAATATATTTTGTATGGTACACTTTTTTGCCCTCTTTATTACAGGCCTACTGCCTTGTCGGTTCCAGCACACCACAACCGACTGGTGTTAACTTAATAATGCCCATACCAAAATAAATAAATATATATATATATATATATATATATATATATATATATATATATATATATATATATATATATATATATATATATATATATATATATATAATCTCCAAAGATAGATAGGAGCACTCAAAAGGACTTCGTTATCGGTATTTATTGTGGTAAAAAAAGTTTACATCAAATCAACGTTTTGACCCCTCAGGGTCTTTTTCAAGATCAAACACTAAGTGAAATGGATACTTAGTGTTTGATCTTGAAAAAGACCCTGAGGGGTCGAAACGTCGATTTGATGTTCTACACTTTGATGTAAACTTTTTTACCACAATAAATACCGATAACGAAGTCCTTTTGAGTGCCCCTATCTATCTTTGGTTAGAATTTGGATGCTGGAAGCACCAAAGGCAAGATTCACATGAGTCATCTTAAGGGTGAGTGCCTAAATCAGATTTTTGTTTTATATATATATATATATATATATATATATATATATATATATATATATATATATATATATATATATATATATATATATATATATATTTAGAGCGAGATAAATGACTACTATATTTTATCCTCATATTGCAGATTACAAAGGATAAAGCATCAGGAAAGCCAACATACGAGGATTTTACTCTAAGTCTACAAGCCATGAAACAACATGCTGTGTGTAATAATGTTACTAGACTTTCCATGCCTAGGTAACTGTAGTTTCTTCTGTTTTCAAAATGCCATGTCCTTGTTGACCCTATTTCACATCTTATATTCTACATTTATTTCCTTTCTTCTCTGTCAGAATTGGATGTGGCTTAGATCGCCTCGAGTGGAAAGAGGTCTCCTCTATTTTACAGGAAACCTTCAGAGATACAAACATACAGATCTCTGTCTATACCCTGTGACTTTATGGCGCTGCTGACAACGTTGATGCTATGGTATTCATAAAACAGTCGAGATTCAATCACTTTTTCTTTGTTTGTAAATATTGTAATTAAACACATGATCTGGCCCTTTATACATCAATAATAAATATGATCCTGAAAACCTAAAGCTGTTTAAGAAAGTGGACATCAATCATTTGTATTATTCACGACAGTGTCTACTTTTCTCCATGACCAGTTCTATCCCAGCCTACCAGTAATAATGTTCAGAAGAAATTTGTCTATAACGAACTAGCAGAATAGTTAGATATATTTAGAGAGAGATTATGGCTACATCTATGTTTACCTCCCTCGTCCACGCGTACTCTCATAACCAAAAACACTTTTTTCAACACTTTTAAATCCCTACTATGCCTTGTTGCAAACCACCAAACACGAACCTCACAAGCAAAGTTTATTTTTATTTATTTTTTTTTTTTTTTCATATTATTTTATTGACAAAATTAGGGATGGCATCTTCCCTCCTGCCCCCACAAATTCACTTTGAGAAGAGAAGGTTTCTACAAGACTTCTATCTTCTCACACCATCCCCCTCTCTACCCCTATCTCTCCCTCTCTCCCTTAAAAAGCCTACCTCCTCTAATGCTCATTTAGTGGCTTTTTTTTCTAACATTGCCTTCTCTCCAATTCCTTTCTAATTTGGAGTCTCCCAAGGCTCAGTCAAGATTTAAAGAGAAGAAAATAATAATGAGGACACTGATTCAGGGGCCACTACTTTGGCCCATGGATCAGTGTTAATAAGCCCTAGATTACTCTTCCTAAACAGGGAATACCCACAGTATGCAATATGTAGAAAGAAAAAGATAGAACCGTAAGGTCCTAGACAGAAGAGTAATAGAAATGGGAAGGAGTCCGTCCCTACCGTTAATAGTGCTAAGGGAATAAAAAACAGTATAAAATGAACAGGAAAAAATAGGGAGACAAGGGTAATGGAAAAGATGTCAAAGCACATCCAGACCCAAACTACTATCCAGCTAAAAAATTCCCAGACTAGTCCAATTGATACTGTGCAAGCCTAGGCTACAACATAGTATCAATGTTTGTATTCCTGACACTATAGTGTTCCTTTTAAGCAAATTAAAGGAACATTCTGGTCACCATAACTACTTCATGTTAAATGAAAATGCTATGATGGCCCAGGTACCAAAGCCTTAGGATGTGGTGTCCAGAATAAAGTGTAGGGTTCACTTCACTTGTCCTTCCTGCTCCAATCTCCTTTTCTTCTTCACAGTCTTCTTTTTCTTCTGACACTGTCTTCTCTTCTCATTGGCTCCTTCTGCTCCTCTACCTTTCTGCTACTTTCTGCTTATTTTGCTGCTCCTTTCTCTTTCTGATGCCTTTCTGCTCCTTGCTACCCTTTTCTGCTCCTTCTCCTACTTTACCTTTGTGCTCCTTGTAATTCTTTCTGCTCGTTTACCTTTGAGCTCCTTATGTCCCTTTCTGCTGTTAGCAGACCCTTCCTGCTCCTTGCAGACCTTTCCTGCTAATTTCTGCTCCTTCTCCTACTTTACGTTTGTACTCCTTCTGCCACTTCAGGCTCGCTTCTGTTCCTTCTACTACTTTACCGTTGTGCTCCTTGCTGACCCTTCCTGCTCCTTATTGCTCCTTCTCCTACTTTACCTTTTTTGCTCATTGCTGTCCCTTTCTGCTCCTTGATGTCCCTTTCTACTCATTTGTTTATTCTCTTTTCTGCTCCTTCTCTTATTTTACCTTCCTGCTCCTTGCTGACCTTTTCTGTAGGCTACCTCCCCCCCAATCCCTCACTTACCTGATCTATAGGCTGCCTCCACCCCATCCCCACCTGATCTATAGGCTGTCTTTCCTCCCCCCCCCCCATCCCTCACTTACTTGATCTGTAGGTGGATCCCCCCATATATCACTTCCCTGATCTATAGGCTGCCCCCCATGCCTCACTTCCCTGATCTATAGGCTGCCCCCCCATGCCTCACTTCCCTGATCTATAGGCAGCCCCCCATGCCTCACTTCCCTGATCTATAGGCTGCATTAGATTAAGGGCCAGTGTATTGGATTAGGTGATGGGGCAGTGTATTAGAGTAGAGGGGGGTGGCGCAGTGTATTGGATTTGGTGGCAGTGTATTGGATTTGTTATTGGAATGGATCTGGATCCAAAATTTATAACCACCCCTACTAAGTTTGATCTCTGCCAAAGTGAAGAACACACTCATAGGACTTCAAAATCAACGAGATAACGTCATTTGTTTTTTACAGCTGTGCAACAGCGTGCATTCACCATTTCAGTCTCACTAAATAAACCTTTCTTAATATGTCAAGGTAGTTGGAATGAAACATTTTATGGAGACGTTCTTTTGCATATAACTTTTGTTTACTTTGAAGCACTATGAGCGTAAGGACATCCAGTATAAGTTAGGCAACTTTTTTTTTATATACTGTACTTTTCTAAATAAAACTAAGTTTCTATGAAAACTGAAGTGTGTGTTTTTTTTTTTTTTGTAGCCCACATCAACGTAAATCTTATTTATTTGGCCCGTGTTAGCCTTTGAGTTTGACATGCTTGCCTTAAAGGTTCTATAAAGTTGAGTGGTCAGCAATGAATGTTGACGATGTAGTATATAAAAAGTCACTAATTTTCAAAAGGAAACATTTTGTCAAGTTATTGTATTAATATGTTTTGGTTTTTTTTTCTGTGGGTTGCAGTAATTTGGGAAGACAGCCAAGACAAGGATGTATAATATTAAGACAGACTATGGGACACATAATGTCTTTCATCTTTAAAGCTTGCAAAGGTCCTCCACAAAGTTTAGATTGTATATGCCCTTAAGAAGGTTAAAGAGTATTGTGGGAATAGGAGTATAGGGATTGATGATGCTAAAGAATTATCTATGCAATTGGAAATGTGTGCTTTTCTCACTATATTTTAGTTTATTCGTTCTACCAGTTTTTCATCCATAAGGTGAAGGAGGGCGTTGGACAGCTGGAATAGACAATTTGTTCTCCACTGTTGCATACTTTCATCTGAATTGAAAATCCATTTTGCAGATTATTTTCCTGCAAGATTTGTTTACTGCAGGAATTGACTATAAAATGATCAATATATATTTTTGAAAGTTACTGTAATTACAAATGTACAGATAACTATAGAATGAGTTTGGAAATAAATTGAATATGCTTTGTTCAAATGGACTACTCTTTATTTGCAATAAAATATGGTATTCGTTTTTTGTTTTTTTTTGTTTATTTGTTTAGATGTAGGATGTTTTCTATGCATGTCTACTTCAGTGTTTGTCTATTTTACTCAACTTATTGGACTGGATCTGAATCCCAAACTTATAACCACCCCTACTAAATCCCAACCCTGTCCTGAAATAAAAAATATAAGTTTTTCCTCCAGATTAGAGGCAGTGCACTACACATGGGATATACTCGAGTCTGGACAGGAAAAGCAGGCAAACACCTAAAATTTAAATTGTTAGGCTCCTCTCCTAGGTATAACTCAGAGAGTTTCAAGCCACAACCCCAGTTCTCTGCCTGCCTTTGGCAGAATAGCAGGCACTCTCTTTTGTGTCTCCAGGATAAGGTGAGTCAACTGCGCCTGAGGAGGGCTCTGTCTGGGCTGATTCAGAGGATGCAGAATGGGTCTGGCATGCTCCTCTGCTCCTAGATGGAACACTCGCCAGGGGTCTGTGTTCCACATTTTACTCTTTCCACCAAATGCCGAGCCAGGTGCCGGAAATGGCGAAGGTGCGCTCTGTGCACAGGGTGGGAAGCCTGGCAGTGGTACACACAGGTTGCGATGTGTTTCACTAGATCTTGATACACAATGCAATCTCCAAAATCAGTCAGAAAAATTTTACGTTTAACGGTTTCCAGGACCATGGAGGATGTCAAAACCCAGCAGCAACTATCTGTTGCAGTGTTCTCTCACCAGCCCTCCAGCACACTCAGAGGCCATTAAGGTAAGACGTTTTGCTTTTTTTTTTTTTTCTACTTCAGCTGTAAAAATCTGCTGAGAGGGAAAATGTCTAACAATTCAATGCATCTAATCTGTTCCACCTGTGTGCAGCCCAGCCGGACAGCTAAAAGAAGATTCTAAGTTAGCTGGAAAGGCTTAAAGAGACACTCAACTGCCCAGATACAAAAAATAACTGTTTAGTGCATAGACCCCGCCCAGACTTGAAGTGTCTGTTCAATCACTGTGAAATATTTGCAAGGCAGGTGCTCTGGCAATTGCTGCTTTTTAATTTCAGTGCTAAATAATTCAATAAAACAAAATCTATGTGCAAATAGCAAAGTGAAAAGCAGCAAGGACATAGTCACTTTTCTATTTGCACGTAGCTTTTGTTTGTTTTTATAGAATTGTTTTTTAGTCCATTCAGCTACTCCTGCTTGCTTTGCAAAGCAGGGTTGTGCCCCCTTGTAGGCACAGAGCGTTACCACCTAGAGCCAGGTTCAGAGTGCTCTATACAAGGTGAGCAGTATTTGTTGTAACATGATATGTCCAACTTTGATGCAAACATACCACACCAGAGAACCATTTATTTATTTTATGTCTTCACCTCACATAAGCCATTTGAGCGGACAGAAGAGGCTCTGAGCCTAAATCTTGGAAGTCTCTGTTCCACATGAGTTGGACCATTGCACACTTTTTTGTATATCCTAGTTTCCTATGATTTTACACTATTGGACTTTGCCTTTATTCCCTTTTTTTTATAAGCGCTATTTCATTGTCCCTGACCAAGGGTAGGTGTTTTACAATGCGCCTTACATGCTCCACTGGTTTGGGTAGTGTTTAGTACACCTTCCCTTTTTTTGGTTGTATGTTTCCTAATCAGTTCACATCAAACGTTTTTGGGCAAAAAATCAGCTGCCATGCAATCACATAGTTATCACCACAGGCTGAACCAGCTAACAAGTCTGAGATTGGGAAATCTCCAATTCGTAATGAAGGCATTTTGAGGTTACAGATATTAATTCTGAGTCCTCATTTTGTGAGTCTGTCACTGAAGATTCCAGTCTAGTAGTGCAAGGCCTTCTGGAATATAAAGATGCCTCTATAGGTTGTTTGCTTGTTTTGTTTTCCCCATCCACCCTAATCTAAAAGATCTTGTTCTTAGGGTATGGAAGTACCATCTTCTCTATTAAAAAAAAAAATTTTATGTACCAATTGGGGTAGACCACCCTCCTATTACGGATTCTAGTTGCCTCCAGGATTCCAGAGACAAAGTAGAATCTTCTTTGAGAAAGCGGTTTCCTACTACAGCAGCACGGCGTTGAGCCCTTTTGCACGAACATCCATGGCTAAGGAACAACGATTTTGGCTTGATTCCCTAATTTACTATTCATCTGTTGCATAATATCAGAATGGCATCAGACATTTCTTAATCAGAAACTTTAAATCTTTCTGCTAAACAAAGAGTCTCTCCAATGTAGCAAGTAAGGTAGAGTGCTTCAGAAACTGGTTAGCAGATTCAGCTTCTACCTGTGCTATACCTTTTGAACAAGGAAGACTGTTTGGGTCACATTTAGATGAATTGCTCAAACAGATAGCAGAAGGGAAGGACGTTTTACCAGATGATCGAAGTAAGAAAAAGTGGAACAAATTTAATTTTTTTACAGAAATGGAGCCTCTGAAATAGATTCCTTAAGTAGACCCACTGCTTGAAAAAAATAATAGACATCCGTTTGACTTTAAGAACAAGGGGAAAAGGAACTTCTCTGAGTAAAAGGATAATAGACTATGATTCCATTCCAGGTGGGATGAAGGCTTCTGGTGTTTTTTTTCAAACTGGTACAACACCTCCACAAACAGCTGGATTTTATCTCTTATTCAAAGAGGCCAATGATTGAAATTAAGCGATCTGCCTCCAAGTGGTTTTCTGTGCGCAACCATTCATTTTCGCTGTACGGCTTTAGTACTTTTCAGTGAAATCCCGGTGATTTTAACGAAAAAGGTATAAGAATCTCTACCAAACGAAGAACAGTTTATGGGGATCTATTCAAGGCTTTTCTCAACTCAGATACCAGGTGGAACTTATAGGCCTATCCTGCATCTAAGAACAGATTTATAATCATAAAGAAGTGTTGAAGGAAAATCTTTCTTTCTGCCACTCACTTTTTTCAAACTGGTTCCTGGCTGAATTCACTCAACACACACAGTATCCCACAAAAGTGAGTACACCCCTCACATTTTTGTAAATATTTTATTATATCTTTTTATGTGACAACACTGAAGAAATTGTTATGGGAAAATTTGGAATATAAAACAACGACTTCTCAATTCCTTGGAATGTTTACATGTCTCTGTATCTCTGCAACCTTGGCTGGAAATTCCAGACTCCAAAAATAGTTATGCTGTTATAATTCCTGATTTTCAATCAACAGCTAGCGTAACTGACAATATGGAAAATATCACTGTTTTATAAAACTTTTCTTATATAGTGGACTGTCTCTGTCGCTTCTGTGTCATGAATGTTTTCATTAAGCCATAATGCAATTTTCTTTGCATTCTTGGAATTAGACTTCAAATTTCATCGCTCTGTCTTATCACTTTTCGTTTGACAACATTTTGCATTAATCTTTTTCCTGCGCATGCATACTAAGCAGCTACAAAGAGAACATATCCCCCTGTCTGCAATCCACTGTCCTGGAACTAACGGGCCATGCTATGCTGGTGTATTAGGCATTTGTTCTATTATGATATTGGTTAAGATCCACAATTTCAGCATTGTATGCTAATTACGTTGTACCTGGCACCTAAACTCACAGTGCCTTGTTCACATTAAAATCATCTCTAATGATCTCTCTCTGAGTCTGGGCTACAAGTAGCTCAATAGATTCTTGATATTTCAAGACTTGTGCCATGACAAAGTATTGTGTCTTCTCTTACGTATAAGAGGTTACCTAGGTATTTATTTTATATTTAAAGCTTCCAAGTACAAAGTCCCTTCGTGGTCGCCAATTGTAACCGTGTGTGGTTCCCTTATTTACCACTATAATGTCTTAAAGCATAGAACTTAGTAGGGCTAACCATACAGATATCTTAGCCATAATTTTATATAGTGTAAGAGATCCTCTATTTAACATATATAAATAATTGAGAATACAATATAAAATAAGGATTGTCTTGGAAGCAAGATTGTCTTTTGGATATTTATTATATAAAAATATAAAATCCATTATAGCAGAGTTTATAAGATTAAATTATATGCTTGCAAATATCATTAATAGGTTAACATACCCTTCTGAACATGTCATCATGTCAGCCTCTCTGTCATTTTAAGATGGAGCAGCGTCTGTCTCCAAGTCTCTCCTCTGTGTCTTAACATTTAAAAGTACACCTATTTATACCTTAGGTGTCTCCATTTTAGGTTACTGTAGTTCAAATATGAAAAAGTAACACTTCTTTTACTTTATTCAATTTAGGTCCTCCCTTAATTTGGCAAACATACAAGGCCATAACTAAAGGGTGTATACGTCATGGAAATTTTCCTGACTTAGTTCAAGATGGCATCTTAAAGTCTGAATAGGTTATCTGTTGTTTATACTAAGTCGTAAGTGTACAGTCGTGGGAGATTCCCGGATTTGGGGAAGTTCCATTAACTTGGGGTTACCACAGTATATTGTGTACTGCAAGTGTCGTAGATAGCCTTGAAGCTTGTTTATGCATTATTGTTATTGTAATTCGTCTGGGACAAAATGGCGCAAACATATTATGCACTGAGGTTATTGCTTAAAGAAACAGTTATGAAAAACAATATGTTCCATTTCTAACACCTTGTAAATTTGCAATATCTCTTAAAGACAAAGTACACAGTTTAAGAAATACAACATTTCATTCTAAAACTTGTAATATTTGTATTTTCCCATAACAAAATGACACTCTGCTACAATGTAAAGTAGTAAGTGTACAGCCTGTATAACAGTGTAAATTTGCTGTCCCCTCAAAATAACTCCACACACAGCCATTAATGTCTAAACCGTAGGCAACAAAAGTGAGTACACTGCTAAGTGGAAATGTCCAAATTCTGCCCAATTAGCCATTTTACCTCCGCGGTGTCATGTGATCTGAAAAAGATTACTGTTGCTCTACATAAATATGGCTAAGGCAAAGGCAACCTTCGGCACTCCAGATGTTTTGGACTACACACTTTACGTGCATTATGGGGGATGTAGTCCACAACATCTGGAGTGCCAAAGGTTGCCTATGATTGGCCTAGGCTAAAAGAAGATTGACAAGACCCTGAAACTGAGCTGCAGCATGGTGGGCAAGACCATATAATGGTTTCACAGGACAGGTTCCACTCAGAACAGGCCTCACCATGGTTGACCAACAAAGTTGAGTGCAGGTGCTCAACATCATAGCCAGAGGTTGTCTTTGGGAAATAGACGTATGCCAGCATTGCTGCAGAGGTTGTAGGGGTGGGGGTCAGCCTGTCTTTGCTCAGACCATATGCCGCACACTACATCAAATTGGTTTGTATGTCTGTTGTCCCAGATGGAAGCCTCTTCTAAAGATGATGCACAAGAAAGCCCGCAAACAGTTTGCTGAAGACAAGCAGACTAAGGACATAGATTACTGGAACCATGTCCTATGGTCCGATGAGACAAAGAGAAACTTATTCAGTTCAGATGGTGTCAAGTGTGTGGCGGCTACAAGGTGAGGAGTACAAAGACAAGTGTGTCTTGCCTACAGTCAAGCATTGATGGGAGTGTCATGGTCTGGGCCTGCATGAGTGCTGCCGGCACTTGGGAGTTACAGTTCATTGAGGGAACCATGAATGCCAACATGTACGGAAGTCATTGACACATTCATTACAGCTAAAAATAATTTCTCCTGTACACTATACTCCGGTATATGAAAATAATACTACTCTTAAATAGAAACATAGAATGTGACAGCAGGTAAGAACCATTCGGCCCATCTAGTCTGCCCAATTGTCAAAATACTGTTAATTAGTCTCTGGCCTTATTTTAAGTCTAGGATAGCCTTATGCCTATCCCACACATGCTTAAATCCCCTCACTGTGTTAACCTCTACCACTTCAGCTGGAAGGCTATTCCATGCATCCATGATCATCTTTGTAAAGTAATAATTCCTGAAATTATTTTTAAATCTTTGTCCCTCTTATTTAAGACTATGCCCTCTTGTTGTGGTAGTTTTTCTTCTCTTAAATATAGTCTCATCCTTTACTGTGTTGATTCCCTTTATGTATTTAAATGTTTCTATCATATCCCTTCTCCACCCCCCCCTGTCTCGTCTTTCCTCCAAGCTATACATGTGAAGATCTTTTAACCTTTCATGGTAAGTTTTATCCTGCAATCCATGAACCGGTTTAGTAGCCCTTCTCTGAACTCTTTCTAAAGTATCAATATCCTTCTGAAGATACGGTCTCCAGTACTGCGTACAATACTCCAAGTGAGGGCTCACCAGTGTTCTGTTAAATGGCCTGAGCACTTCTCTCTTTCTACTGCTAATTCCTCTCCCTATACAACCAATCATTCTGCTAGCATTTCCTGCTGCTCTATTAAATTGTCTTCCTACCTTTAAGTCATCTGAAATAATTACTCCTAAATCCCTTTCCTCAGATGTTGAGGTTAGTAGGGTATCAAATATTCTATATTCTGCCCATGGGTTTTTATGCCCAAGATGCATTATCTTGAACTTATCCACATTAAAGGGACACTCCAGGCACCCAGACCACTTCTGCCCATTGGAGTGGTCTGGGTGCCAACTCCTACTACTCTTAACCCTGCAAGTAGAATTATTGCAGTTTTTTATAAACTGCAATAATTACATTGCAGGGTTAACTCCACCTCTAGTGGCTGTCTACTAGACAGCCACTAGAGGGCACTTCCTGATTCATAGCTGTGTGAGGATCTCCAGCGTCAATCAATTCCCCATAGGAAAGCATTGAAAATCTTTTTCAATGCTTTCCTATAGGGAGACCTAACGCGTGTGCACGGCATTTCCGCGCATGCACATTAGGTTTCCTCAGCCGGCGGGCGGGATCAGTCTCGCCCACCTGCTGACGTGATTACTGGGAGGAGCGACGCAGACCCGAAACCACACCGAGGGACATTGGAGGGGTCTCAGGTAAGTGACCTGAAGGGCTTTTCACCCCTTCAGCTACCTGGGATGGGAGGTGGGAGGGAGAGGGTACCTGCAGTGCCAGGAAAACGGATTGTTTTCCTGGCACTGGAGTTTCCATTTAAATGTCAGTTGCCAGAGCTCTGACCATTTTTCTAATTTATCAAAATCATTTGCCATTTGGCAACCCTGTTGTAAATTTTAGTATCATCAGCAAAAAGATATACCTTACCATCTTCTGCAATTACCTTCTGCAATATCAAACTAAAAAATTAAAGAGAATGGGTCCAAATACAGATCGCTGAGGTACCCCACTGGTAACTAGACCTTGCTTTGAATATACTCTCTTGACAACAACCCCCTGTTGCCTGTCATTTAGCCACTGCCTAACCCATTCAACAACATTGGAATCCAAACTTAAAGATTGCAGTTTATTGATGAGCCTTTTATGTGGAACAGTGTCAAAAGCCTTACTGAAATCTAGGTAGGCAATGTCTACTGCAGCATCCTAATCTATAATTTTAGATACCCAATCAAAAAAATCAATAAGATTAGTTTGGCATGATCTCCCTCAAGTAAACCCATGTTGTCTCTGATCTTGAAACCCATGTGATTTTAGATGTTCAACAATCCTATCCTTTAACATGTTTTCCATCACTTTCCCCCACTACTGAAGTAAGGCTTACTGGACTATATTTGCCCGACTCTTCCCTACAACATTCGCGAACTTCCAATCTTCTGGGACTACAACTGTTAAAAATGATTGGTTAAATAAATCCATTAATGGTTTTGCTAGTACACCACTAAGTTTTTTTTTTTTAATAACTTTGGGTGTATCGCATCAGGCCCCATCGACTGGTTTGTCTTTCATTTTGACTGCTAGACCTTTATTCTCTTCTGCATACCTTCCTTCTTTTGTTTTTAATCTAACCAATCTTTGTTTTATTTAAATTTTCTCATTGTCTAAAAAATGTTTTGTCCCCTTTCTTTACTGACTGTGCTATTTTCTCTCCTGTGTGTGCTTTGTGGACTCTTATAACTTGCTTAGCGTCTTTCTGCCTAATCTTATAGATCTTTCTATCTTCCTCACTCTGTTTTTTTTTTTATAATTACTAAATGCTAACTTTTTGTTTTTTACTATTTTGACCACATCTGTGGAGTACCACAGTTGTTTCTTGAATTTTTTACTTTTACTGACAAGCCTAATGCAATTTTCTGTGGTGTCTTCTGCCTCTGCTTATAGTGGTCGTCTGTGGTAGGTGTTGTAGTCCTCTGTATGGTGTATAGGTTGGCATTTTTGTGCTCCTGTTTTTTTTGTTTTTTTTTGTGGGCTCCAGTCTATATTGTTCAAATTGTAGGGTGATGGTTAGTTGAGTGCAGATGGAAGGTGTGAAGTAACCAATGTCCAGTATTAAGTGCCAGCTGAAGGTGCATTGTCTCTTGTAGTGTGGGTGAGAGAGTGTGAGGTGCAGGCTTGTAGGGTCCATCTATGTGTTGTGAGGTCCATTGCCCATGCTACCAGCCTTCTTGAGGGTATTGGGGTGAGCCGTGGGTGTTGTGCGAGGCATATACATTTTTTTTCTTCCTGTTTTGTGTTTTTCATTTGTTTGTTAGTCAAGTTCACGGAAATGAAACTCAGGAAGGGGGGTAGTGATAGGGTGAAGCAAGGAACTGGAGTTAGTCAAAGTTGACCACTGAGTGCCCCATAATCGCCTGATGGTCCAGTCGGCCCCAGGAGGTACCCACCATTAGTGCAGGGCCTGGGTGCGGGTGCCCTGGAATGGGGTTGGGCCATTCGATGTGCCAGGTTAATTTTTTTTGCCTCTTGGATGGTGTGTGCCATCGTTGCCGTTGTGGTAGACTGGGGAGCATTTGGAGTTGTTGATTCTGAGCCTTCAATAGTGATCTTTGGCATGCCTAGCTCCCGGTTGAAGCCTGCCACATCCTTGTGATTAGATATGGACAGCGTGTTACCATTGTGTGTAACGATGAGGGCCAGCGGGAAGCCCCATCGATAACGGATGTCTCGAGCTCTGAGGTGGTCTGTTATAGGCCGTAGGGCCTTTCTGCCCTGTAAGGTCATCCAGCAGACGTCGGGATATATCTGTATAAACGTCCTGTGGAACAACAAGGGTTGCGAGGCCTGGTGCACGGAGCGTAGAACACCTTCCCAGACGGTGTGATAATGGAGCCTGCAGATCACGTCTCTGGGTGAGTCACCCGGTGCACCTCTTGGGCGCAGAGCTCTTTGTGCTCTGTTCAAGAGCACTGGGGTGTCAGTTGGATTGCTGAATATTAGATAGAAGAGTTCTTGCAGAATATGTTCTCCCCATGTCGCTATGGTAACCCTTTTGTGCAGAGATTGTTCCGCTTCCCCTGTTGTCGAGGTAGTCCATTGCCCTATGCATGTGCAAAAGGTAGGTAGTTGGGTCTCTACTGTCGCTTGGAGTTGTTGTACCTTAGTGAGATTGAGGTCTCAATCTTCCTCCAGAGTGTGGACTCAGTCTCCCACGTGGTGTATGTCTCCGGCCATTGCATCCTTTTTTGCAGCATATGTGCGAGGCCTAACTTGGGTGGTAGGTTTTTGAGGATGTCCCGTAGTTCAGCATCCATCATGGGAGCCAGCCTGTCCGAGTGCTGGGCTCGAGGGTGCCGAGGTGTCAAGCAGGGAGTCCAGCACTATGTTTGGCCCTACCGGCCCGTGGAGTTAGTCCGCATGGCGCGAAAAAATTTAGACAGGGCACCCGATTTCCAGCCGGGTGTTTGCTGGTGGATGGCTGTGATGCTAGGGATCTCTTTGGGTCTCCCATTTGTGCAGATGAGCCCGATGTTTGCGGATTGTGTTTGTGCTCGGCGGTGCTCTCCTACTGTGCGGCCATTCATGTTTGTGGTTGGCTCTGCCCCTAAAAGTGTAGTTTTTGTGTAAAAAATAAAATAAAAAAAATGCAAAACACAAATATAAACGCTAACTTTGACAAGCATTTGTGGCTAAGTGGCTATTAGAAAAGACTGGACATACCCCATTTTGAATAACCTGGGTTGTCTCCTTTTTAAATGGTATGTCATGGTGGGGTTAATATTCATTTCTGGGATGTCATACCATCTCCAAGGCAACATAGTCAATCTGGCAAATAGCAATTTACAAAAACAGAAATTGGCAAATCTTATGTTTGACCTTGTAACTTTACAAATCATCATAAAACCTGTACTTGAGGGGTTCTTTTGTACTTGTGAGACATTACTCTACACAAATATGAGTGGCTTAAAGCAGTAAAATGTATTATACAGATAATATCATTGGTGATTGTCTACTTTTACAAATGGTATGCCATGATGGGGTTAGTTTTCATTCCTGGGCTGCTATAAGGTCTCAAAGGCAGCATATGCCCAGCAAACCAATCTGGCAAATTTCAATGTGCACACATGGAAAATGGGAAAGTCCTAAATTTGACCCCTGTACGTTTGCAAAAACCCATAAAACCTGTAACACAAAAAATTGACTACCCAAAATGGCTGCATGAAAAGAGTCAAAATACCCCAAGTTTAATACCTTAGGTTGTCTTCTTTTTTAAAAATGTATATATGTGAAGGTTTATTCAGGTGTTCCTGACAGATATCAATGTTACAATGTAACTTCCTTTAATTTGGGGGGGAAAATGGTTTGGAAATAGTAAAGTATACTTATAACTTTCCCAAAAAGCTAAGAACATGTTAACATTGGGCATTTCTAAGTGCTGAGTAGCAAAGTGCTACTTATTATTATTACTGGCATTTATAAAGCGCCAACAAATTCTGCAGCGCTGTATAATTGGGAAAAAGACAAACACAATAAGAACAGACCGATACAACAGGTAGAGGGCCCTGCCCGTGAGCTTACAATCTAGAGGTTGAAATGGGTGTATGAGACAAGAGGTAGCAGAGGAATTTGTATGTGATGGCAGAGAGAGTTAATGGTATAACTGCAGCAGCTGATAGCATGTGAAGGTAATAGGGGGGTGATTGGTGTGGTTCCAAACAGCTGGAGGTGCATGCTATATAGTTAGAAGGAACCAGGGTGGGTGGGTAGAGCCATGCATGGATGGATGGTTTGGGTCTATACTTATTGCCCTATAACATGCAAAAAAAAGCTAAGAACATGTTAACATTGTGTATTTCTAAACTCAGGACAACATTTTGAAACTATTTAGCATGGGTGTTTTTTGGCGGTTGTAGATGTGTACAGTGGTGTATCCTGGTTTTGTGCTGCCCTAGGCAGGACAAAACTCAGGCACCCCCCTCCCCCCTCCCCCCGCGCCACCCCCACCCAACCCTTCCCCCCCGCCCACCTTCTAAATACACACACACACAGTCAGACACAAACACACACACAGTCAGACACAAACACACACACAATCAGACACATACACACAAACACAGTCAGACACATACACAGACACAAACACAGTCAGACACAAACACAGTCAGACACAAACACACAGTCAGACACAAACACACACACAGTCAGACACATACACAGACACAAACACAGTCAGACACAAACACACACACACAGTCACAAACACACACACACAGTCAGACACACACACAGTCAGACACAAACACACACAGAGTCAGACACAAACACACACACACAGTCACAAACACAAACACACAGTCAGACACAAACACACACACAGTCAGAAACACACAAACACAGTCAGACACAAACACACACACACAGTCAGACACAAACACACACACACACACACACACACAATCACTCACATTAACTTTTTTTTAATCCCCCGCAGCCTCCTTACCTTTGGGAGTGCTGGGGGGGGGTCTCTCTCTCCCTGGTGGTCCAGTGGCTGCCGGTCGGGCTGGGCGGCGCTGGCGAGGGAGCACTTCCTCTGAGCTGACTGCTCAGCTCCCTCGCGCGCTGCAGAGTGAGGCTGGGAGCCGGAATATGAAATAATGGTATCTTTAGAAATATCATTTAATGGTGAGAAAAACGGTATATAATATGTGTGGGTACAGTAAATGAGTTTGAGGAAAATTACAGCTAAACACAAACACCACAGAAATGTAAAAACAGCCCTGGTCCTTAACGGTAAGAAAATTGAAAAGCGGTCTGGTCACTAGCCTAGTTTGTAGGTATGTTACTTGTCTAATGAGGTTGCGATAGCCATTAGCCCCGCCATTTGAGGCCTCCACCTCCTCCCTTTCCCTGTGCCCTGAGTGCCTCCCCCCCAAAGCCCTCCGCCGGGGCTCTCCTGATGGCTGTGCGCCTTGGCCCCCCGGTCGGCCGCCCCCCGAGCAGGCCCACAAGGCCTGGATTCTTTGGGCCGTTAATGTCTCCCTCCATACCTTTCTATGGTGTCATCACTTCAGGAGTGTGGGTGTGTTGGCCGTCTGGCCCGAGTGGGCCCTGTTTTTTTTTTTGGTTTTTTTCATGACCCCGATTCCACTCCCTTAGCTTGCTAATGTGTGGTAGGTCACAGGGAGACTTTCCTCTATGTTATTGCCGGTTTGTGTGTATTCTCACTGGGGTCTCCCCTGTGTGGTACGGCTCGGTGTCATGAGGGTTCCATGCCTCGGAAAGGAGGTGGCAGTGCAGCTTGTTACTTTGGTCCCTTACTGTCAGTCCTGCGATGCTGGCGGGCTGGGTTTCTCCCCTTTTCTTTTTTAGTGACTCCGGATCTGTAGTGTATTGGTTAAAATATATGACCCCTGTATTGGTGTGTACCTGTTAGGTGTTGTATTCGTCCCATAGCTCCCAAACCATCTGAAATGTGCCCGTCGTGTTCCTGACTTGTGCCGTTAGTTTGTCCGTAAGGTAATTATCCCAGAGTTTCATAAGTACCAAGGACATCGGGGGTAGCTCTGTATGTGTCCAGTTTTGTGCTACTGCCAAACATGCAGCCAAGTTTATCATATTTGAGCAATTTTTGGTCATATTTGTTTAGTCCGTCTCAGGTTTTGGATAACAGGCAGACCCATGGGTTCGGTGTAAGTCGCCTTTGCAATATTTGTGAGGTTTCGTCTGTCACTATTTTCCAGAAGTCCGCTGCTCTTGGGCACTGCCACCACACGTGAATGTAGCTCCCCGTTCCTCCACACAGGTGCCAGCAAGTGTCTGTGGGGCTCATTTCCATGTGGCATTGCTTAACTGGTGTTGTGTACCATCTAAAAAGTGTTTTGTAGCATTGCTCTTGTAATGTCACATATATGGATATTTTAGAACAGGCCTCCCAGATGTCCTGCCAATCAATTCCCTCCAACTCCTTTCCCAGGTCCTCTTCCTCTTCCCATTGTGCTGTGTAACTTAGGTGTTCCCATTACCGGGCTTCTGAGCCGAAGTGTTGGTATATTGTCGTGATTAAGTGCGGTTGTGTGGTGTCTTTGAAGAAAAGTTTCTCAAAAACCGTCATTGGTTTCCCTGCTGTTGTCTGAAAGTCTATTTTGTGTGCAAAGTCCCTAAGCTGTAAGTATTGAAAATAGTCCCTGGACTGGAGCGGGTCTGAGGATCCGAGGTGCTCGTACGTGACTACAGTGTTGTTTACGTATAGGTGGAGGTATCATTGAAGGCCAGTTGCCTCTATCCCCTGAAAGTCCCTCACCCTCATCCCTGGCGAGAATGCTCTGTTTCTCAAGACTGGTGTCAGCGGGGAAGGGACAGTTCCTAGGGCGTATTTTTGCACTGTTTGGTCCCATATTTGCATGGAGTTAGTTATGGCTGGGCAGGTGGTCCTCATTAGGGCTCTTTGGGTCTTTGGGGCCCAAATATAAAATTGGGGTAGATCGGCTCCCATGAACACGGATTCAATATCCACCCACCTTCTTTGCTCTGGGGGAGTGTGCCAGTGTACTATTTGCACTAGCTGCACTGCTAGGTAATAGTGGTATAGGTGTGGTAGCACTAAGCCCCCTCTGTCTTTAGGTCGGTACAGAAGGCTTATAGCCAGTGTAGGCCATTTTATCTGCCATATAAAGGCGTCGATCACCCTATGTATGTTAGCTAGGTCCCATTTTAGTGACTTTTATAGGTAGCGCCTGGAAGTATGGAGTGTAGGCGTCCTATCCATGAGATGGGTTTATCCGTCCATCTCTCCAAATCTCCTGTCAGATTTGGGAAGAGAGGTGTATAGTTACTGAGGAAAAATGTAGCTGGGTTAGCCGTGAGGCGAACCCCTAGATATGTGAATGCCTCTTTTTCGATCTTAAGTTTGTATTGCTGTTGCTGTCGAGGGTCGACATGTGGAAGGAGATAGCCACTGATTTAGTTAGGTTGACTTTATGGCACGAGAAAAAGTGCAGAGGCGGGCTACAAAATTAATAAAAGGAATGGAACATATCAGCTATGAAGAAAGGTTAACAAATTTTAACCTCTTTAGTTTAGAAAAACGTCACCTGAGAGGGGATATGTTAACATTATACAAATATATTCGGGGCCAATACAAACCATTGTGTGGAAATCTATTCACAAACCGGACGTTACATCGGACACAAGGTCATGCATTTAGACTGGAAGAAGGAAGATTTCGTCTAAGGCAAAGAAAATGTTTTTTTACTGTAATAACAATAAGGATGTGGAATTCTCTGCCTGGAGAAGTGGTTTTATCAGAGTCCATACCAGTGGCGGATCCGGGGGGGGGCAACGGGGCAATTTCCCCCCCGAGATTCTCCCCTGCCGGCTAATGCAGCGCTGGCATTGTCAAAGTTCCAGCCCTGCAATGTGCCTGCGGACCGGAGGGGAGATCAGAGATCTCCGTCCCCGGTCCGCAGGCACCATGCTGGCAGCCGGCAGGGGGAGGGAGTGAGAGAGGACCCGGGAGTTCAGCCTGCAGCTCCTCCGGGTCCCACTCTCGCGAGCACGGAGCGTTGCCGCGGTTACCACGGCAACACTTCAAATCTCGCGAGAGTGAACTCTATCCCTGGAGCTACGGGCTAGAGTTCACCTCTTCACCTCACCACAACTGGGACCACCAGGGATTACCCACCGGACCACCAAGGATCGTGAAATGTCCCCCCTCCTCCCAGTAAAGGTGAGAAGGGAGGGGACATAAATATATATATTTTATTAAATAAAAATGTTAAAAAATATATTAAAATGCCTCGCTACCCTCCTTGCCCCCATACACACACTGTCCCCATACACACACTGCACACCTATAGACACATTTCCCCCCATACACACACTGCCCCCATACATACAGTGCCCCCCCATACACACATTGCCCCACATATACATACCATGCCCCCATATACACATTGCCTCTATATACACATTGCCCCACACATACATACAGTGCCCCCATACACACATTGCCCCACACATACATACAGTGCCCCCCATATACACATTGCCCCACACATACATAAAGTGCCCCCATATACACATTGCCCCACACCTACATACACTGCCCCCCATATACACATTGCCCCACACATACATACAGTGCTCCCATACATACAGTGCCCCCACACACACACTGCCCCCATACACACATTTCCCCACACATACACACACTGCCCCCATACACACATTGCCCCACACATACATACAGTACCCCATATACACATTGCCCCACACATACATAAAGTGCCCCCCATATACACATTGCCCCACACATACATACAGTGCCCCCCATACACACATTGTCCCACACATACATACAGTGCCCCCCATACACACACTGCCCCACAGATACATACAGTGCCCCCACACACACTGCCCCCCATACACACACACACACATACAGTGCCCCCCATACACACACAGCTCACACAAACATACAGTGCCCCCCCATACACACACTGCCCCAATCACACACACTGCCCCCTCACATACACACTGCATCGCTCACACACACACACTGCAGCTCTCTCACATACACACTGCCCCCTAACACACACACTGCAACCCTGACATACACAGCCACCTCCCCGCACACACTTCACTGCTCACACACACACTGCACCTTTCATACACACTTCACCCCTAACACATACCATTGCTTCTATGCCCTATATCCCAGCAGACCCCAGGTAAGTTGTCAAACTGTTATTAAACGGTTTGACTACTTACTCTGAGATGGGATCCTGGCACTACTGGCACCATAACTACTACACTGAGCTGTAGTGGTTATTGTGCCTAGATTATTTCTTTAAATAATCTACAATTGCCCCTCCTGAGATCAGGCCCTGGATCCTCCACTGGTCCATACAGATGTACCAACAGCAGTTAGATGCATACTTGCAAAAACAGAATATTCAAGGATATATTTTTTCAATGTAGCGGTTTCAATAGCTGTTTGTCCAAGGATAAATCTGACTGCCATTCTGGGGTCAAGAAGGAATTTTTTTCCTAGTTTGTTGCAAAAGTGGAAGTGCTTCTAACTGTTTTTTTTTTTTTGCCTTATTTTGGATCAACAGCAAAAAATAAATGTGAGGAAGGCTGAACTTGATGGACGCAAGTCTGTTTTCAGCTATGTAACTTTGTATCCTGCTACTTTGCCATACCGGATCAGCAGTGTTGTTAGTCTGGTCATAGCTTGTATTGGGTCAGTAATTGTGACAAGCACATCGTCGGCGTACCCTAACACCTTGAATTGGTGCCCTGCTATCACCACCCCTGCTGTGAATGGGTCGTCCCTGATTGCTACCAGGAGTGGCGCGAGTGTGAACGCAAAGAGGAGTGGGCAACCCAGTCCAGTACCATTAGTCAGGGCAAACGGGATCTGTGGAGCTCCCGATACAAGTGTTTGCGCCCTCACATCTGCATACAATGCTGTGATTGCAGTCACGAATGGTCGTGGGAAATTCCTCCTAGTGATCAGTTCAAATAAGAATGGCCATTTGACACGTTCGAAAGCCTTCTCGGCAATACAATGATAGTGCCAGAGAAGGTACCCCCGATTCCATCATGTGCCATAGCATATCCACCCCCTCGTCTGGTGTTCTCATAATGTTGTCTGCCCGGATGAAGCCCACTTGGTCAGGGTGTGTAAGGCGTGGTAGCATAGCATTGAGTCTGGCTGCCAGTATTTTCGCAAACATTTTCAAATCAGAATTGAACAGGGAGATGGGTCTATAGTTTGAGGGTAGTGTGTGGTCTCTGTCGGGTTTTGGCAGTAAGACTATGTTCACAAAGAGTATCCGTGTAAGGATGGCAGTTCCCCATATGAACCCACTGTGCGTTTACATGCATTCGATGCAGTTGGAGATTCCCCGTGTGTAGGGTTACCCCACTTCTAGGTGGGGGTGGAGGTGCTTCCCGTATGTAGGGAGTTGTGCTGTGTAGTGACCCATTTACAGTCCAGAGCATGCTGTGGTCTTGGGTCATACCCTTACAGACGGGCCAAGTAGAAGCCTTTAGGGAGTGGATACCTCATCATGTCTAAACACATTTATTATAGTTTCAAGACACATTATTGTGAGTATTACTGTTGTGGAGCTCTGGTATAAATTTAGACATGCCAAGAATATGGAGAGTATCTTTAGAAGAGGGACAGAGGAATATGGAACTACATAGGAGGAACAATTGGGAAATATATATATATATATATATATATATAAAGAAATCACGGGTGAAGCAAATTAAACTTGATGATGAGAACAATATACTGGTCACATTAGATGTACAAAGTTTGTACACTACTATAATCCCCCATGAACAGGGGATCTAGGCCCTGCGAGAAATTCACACTGAATCGAAGGTGTATCAAGCACCACCCATAGAACATCTGCTAGAATTCTTACATATAGCGCTCACGTGTGATTATTTTAAATTTGAAGATCATTTTTATCTCCAAACATCTGTGCCCTCATACACCAACGCGTATATGTACTGGTAAGATTATGTCTGGTTTGTGGATGATATATTCTTATTATGGCTGGGCACACAAACAGAGTTGGAAGAAATGGTCTTGAGAATTAACGATTTGCCAACACATGTTCGATTCACTGTTACCTTTAGCGCCAATCACATACAGTTTCTGGATGTTACATTGTACAAAAAAAACAAAAACAGCCATTTGGGTTTCACTTTGCATCGTAAACCCAAACCTGGAATACACTGCTGGGTGCAACCAGTTTCCATCCCCAAGCTCTCAAGGATTCACTACCTGCGTCACAATACATGAGGGTAGTCCTGTACATAATTTTTTTTTATATAGTTACATAGTTGCATAGCTGAAAAGAGACTTGCATCCATCAAGTTCAGCCTACCTCACATTTGTTTTTTGCTGTTGATCCAAAAGAATGCAAAAAAACCCAGCTGAAACACAATTTTGCAACAAGCTAGGAAACAAAATTCCTTCTTGACCCCAGAATGGCAGTCAGATTTATTGTACAGATTTGTACAATAGCGACCCTGACAATAGGGAAATACAACTTCTGTATATGAGCTATAATTTTATGGAAAGAGGATACCACCCCCAAATAATTAATACAGCCAAATAATGAGCTGTATTCCAATCATGTATCACAGAGGTAAAAGAGAACAAGAATAATAGGTGCTCGCTATAGTACAATCGGTTTCTTAGTAGGGCCTGCGGTACAAGATAAATAGGTGTAAGGCGTATACTGCGGCCAAAATGTATATGTACATAGATCTTACAAAACACTACAGACAGTTACAATGTTGCTCTTCTCTATTTTCCACACAGAACCTTGCTTCGGTATTTTAATTGTGTAACCCAATTCCTGAATCGATTGCCGTTCCCATTTGTGTATATGAACAACGGACCACCCGGTCCCTGGCGTGTGCCGCCA